TCAATTTACAGTGTCTGAAGATTATGACATCTGCTGAATCCAGGGCAATTCTTTGTTTTTTAGTGTGGAATAACGCTGAAACCCGAATGATTGACAACATCTAAAATTGACAAATCAGTTTTGTTGAGATTTAAGACTAAGAACAAATAGTTTTTCATCATGTTTTTTATTTGAATCCTCTTGGATAATCCGATTTAGATTTCAAATTACAATATACCTTTCTTAAAAAGGATCTACTCTTTAAATCCTAAATCTCTCTTGTTGCTTTAATTCAAGTTGCAGTACTGCACAGTCCAGTCGGTAGAAAAGAATACAATAGTGTTAGGAGACTGATTCACTGCAGCAGCTCCATCGAGCCTTCTGAGCTTCGCCTCAAAACTCTTGACAAAGTAATTCATATTTTAGGATTTTATAAGTAACATGACATTTTCTAGCTTTTTCTGTTAGCTAGCAATCTATGCAATTCTATAAAACTCTAAGAGTACTAAGAATAATTTGACATTTTGGGGTTGTTACCATATAAATTAATTTTTTCAGCTGTGTAATTATCCATGAAATCTTTTATTATTAAAAATAGAGGCTTTAACTGAAATTATATAAAAGCAATAAACAGTGCATTGTATGTGTAATTTCATTACTATTATTGCCTCTTTAATGTATCTATCAACAGAATACGATAAAGAGAGAAAGCAATAATGGTTATGTCAAAGAGACATAGCAGAGTGAAATGTACCTCAAAATGAGAAATTCAAATGTGTGCTTTGACCTATATCCTAAAAATGTCTTCCAAGGTTATTTTCCCAGTATGTAACTCTTACTTTCTTTGCCTTCTACTTTTAATTATCATTAGATAACTGCAAAGGTATCAGAAAAGCAATGGTCATTCTTATCCAGACAGAAGTTCAGACTTACTCCCTACACAGGCAGAGTCAGTCTAAACATAGCACAGGTACCCAAGCATCGCTATCACACCCAAACATTGAATGCACAAGTTATGGTGAGACACACACTTTTAAAGACTAAGTGAGCCAGTGAGCTCTTAAAATCTTTAATATGTGTCTGTGTGCGTATGTAAATATATGTGTAGGTGTGTATGAAAATATGTATATAAATATGTATGTGTATGTGTATGTATGTAGCTATAGAAGTGTGTGTAGATGTGTATGTATATAGACAAGTGTGTATATAGCTGTGTATGTGTTTGTGTAGATGTGTGTGTAGATGTGTATGTATATATGTATGTGGATATGTGTGTATGTAGCTATAAATGTGTGTGTGTTGATGTGTATGTAGATATGTATAAAAATAAGTATGTGAATGTGTGTATGTAGCTATAGATGTGTGTAGATGTGTATATATATAGACAAGTGTGTATATAGGTGTGTATGTGTTCATGCAGATGTGTTTGTAGATGTGTATTTAGATATGAATATGTATGTGAATGTGTGTATGTAGCTATAGATGTGTGTAGATGTGTATGTATATAGACAAGTGTGTATGTAGGTGTGTATGTGTTCATGCAGATGTGTTTGTAGATGTGTATGTAGATATGAATATGTATGTGAATGTGTGTGTATGTAGCTATAGATGTATGTGTAGATGTGTATGTAGATTTGTATATAAATATGTATGTGAATGTGTATATGTAGCTATAGATGTGTGTAGATATGTGTAGATGTGTATGTATATAGACAAGTGTGTATATAGGTGTGTATAGGTTTATGTAGATGTGTGTGTAGATGTGTATATAGATTTGTATGTGGATGTATGTGTGTGTGACTATAGATGTGTGTGTAGATGTGTATGTACATAGACAATTGTGTATATAGGTGCATGTAGATATAGGTATGTATGTGTATAGATGTGTATGTGTAGATGTGTATGTGTAGATGTGTATGTATGTACTATAAATGTGTATGAAGATATGCATGTGTTGTCTGAAAGTGTGTGTGTTTATGTGTATGTGTAAATAAGTACATATGTAGATATGTGTGTATGTAGATATAGATATGTCGTGTATGTGTGTGTGTGAGTGTTCAAACAAGTAAAAGGGTAACATGCATTAAGCCTAAAAATGAAAAAAAAGCAGAGAGAGGATGAACAAACTGGAAGGTGTCCTATACTTTTCAAAATCCATTCTCTAGATTCTGCTAGAGATGAGCTAAAGAACACATTTTGAAAACATTGGTAACGACATGGAAAATATGTGATTTGGGTAACATGGCATGGAGAAACATTCAAACATACAAATGTGCTCTGAAGAAAATGGACACACAGATCTGCAGAAAGAATAGAGAAGGGACAAAGTCAAGCCAGGAGTTTGATGAAGTAGTAAGAATAAATAAATAAACAAACAAACAAATAAATATATGGAATAGAATGGAGAAAATTAAAATAAGCATAATTAAGTACTCCTCAATGTTCTCTGTCCTAGTCTATCTGCAGCTGTTCATTTATTACACAATTTTGTAATTACTTTGACCTTAGCATAAACATTACTGAGCTCAGTGTTATTAAACTGAATCCACAAACCAATCACACAAATGTGTTGTCTATAACACATTCCCAGGCTGGTTTTATTTTGTAATGATCTTTTCTCCTCAAGTGTGAACATTTTTTAATCTTCTAGAATTAATGGCATGTGAATTAAAAATACCATGAAATTATAAATATTTTCCATAACTACAATGCACAATCTTCAAAAGAACTTGGTGCTAACAATTGCTAACAAATATTTAGCCTTAGTATATAAATACTTAACTATTCATAGGATCACAGAACTCTACTATATTGGCCCAGCTATCCCTTTGACAACTTAAGCTTTAGCATTCTCTCTTCCTCTAGTTACTTATACAAATGCATCAAATCAGTTACATGAATGTTCTAGATTCTGTTTTACAAATACAAATGGAGATGTTTAGGCACACAGAAAATACATAGGCAGTAGCTCAGTACCTCCATTGCATACTTGGCATGGTGATGTGGCATGGCATAATAGAAATAAGAGAATTGATGATTGCACTGTTGATTTCATGAAATCAAAAACTGAGATTATGATTTATATGTAACTGATCCATTGGAATTTAGAATATGTCCTCTGGTTGAGATCCAGATTAACATGCCTGCAGCCCTCTTGGTTACAACCACCATTATGGTCACCAAGTGACACTAGCATACAGCTTAGAGTTACAAGATAAAGTCCTTGAACAGCCAAGCAGACTGTGTTGGCAGTTGGGTCCTTGACTATTTTCTAGGTGACACCAGGCATGTCAACAGTTTTGAGAAAGGCCACATACCTACCTTTGTTTAGCTTAGTAAATGAACATTTTTCTCTTGCCTTGGAGCCTAGGGTTCTTCCTGTCTTTCTTGTGTCAAAAACATATGATTGTTCAAGAGTTCTTAATAAATGGCATTTTACACAATCTTGGATCTGTCTTTCTCTGTAGTTTCTTATCTCCTCCTGACATTTACAGATGATTTTCATACATGGGTGTACCGTGTAGTCTTTCTGCTAGCTGCTTGGGCCCTGCCAAGTTGCCTGGGTTCTGTTGTTGCTTTTAGCTCCCAAATAACACACAAGACATTATATTAATTATGAGGCTGTTTGCTGTTTGCTAGGTTTCTTATCAGCTAGCTTTGACTTGATTATTAGCCCATAATTACAAATATATTTTTTATAAAAACTTATCTTTTTGAGGATGCACTCCTGAACACCCTTGCTCCCGGGAGATCACATGAAGAAAGCTCTCCTCACTACAATTCCCAGAATCCTCCTAGACTCCTAGTCCCACCTATTTTGTTTCACTATTGGCCAACAGTGCTTTACTCAAACCAATCAGACACATATTTACAGAATGATGTCTCCCAACACATGGGGATATGTTTTTCCCAAAACAAGAGGAAACAGGAACTAGACCAGAAAAGTGAGCCAAGCAGTTGTGTAACAAATTCCCTCTGAAAGTGACATTGGTTCAGTTCAAGTGACAAAGTATGTATGTCAGATTTGAAGCCTTCTCTCCTCATTGTCTGGGGATCCAGCATATCTATGGTATCTCCACAACTGCCAGTCACTTGAGAGAGTCTCACTAGATTTAGGGAATCCTCTACCACCCTGTGTATGTGTACTCCCCCCTCCAGGGAGGTTCAGGTGATATCTGCCGGGAATTCAAAGGAAAGTAGAACCAGTGTTACCAAAGAACAAGGGAGAACAAGGGCATATCCCTGAATTATAGGGTCTTTGCTTTGCTGTCAACTTCAACTTTTGATGTCTGAATCAGAACAGACTTTCACAGTTGCTGGAGATGGATCAGTCTTCTTGACCAGTCTGATTAGAGAGCTAGTGTATGTGTGTGTGTGTGTGTGTGTGTGTGTGTGTGTGTGTTGTGCATACTCACAAAAAGTACCTGCAAGGTTTAGAAATGAAATATTCTGTACAGGCTCATAAATTTGCATTCTTTATCTTCAGCCAATAGAACTGTTTCGGGTGATGTGAAGCCTTGAAAACTCCAGTTGAGCTCATAGAAGCAGGTCACTGGGGAGAGCTCTGAAGGGGGGTGTTATCCACTGCAAGTTCTATCTCACTCAACATCTCCGTTTCCTGACCTGCTAGAGAGCTGTATGAAGATGTACCACACTCTCCATCTCTGTGAGCTCTGCCATGACATGCCTTCCCAAGGACACCGGATTGTATCCTCTGACACTGTGATCCAAATAAACCTTTTTGGCCTTCAATTGTTCCATCAGATATTTTTGTCACCACAACAAGAAAAGTGATTAATACTGTGCCTGGCAAAGATGAAGTTTTTCTGCAGACTTACATAAAAAGGGAGAACTGGGGAGACTCTCAGAAAACCCGAAGATACATTTAAATAACTGAAAATTGCCGATTCCCTGGAGAAGTTTTTCCACTAGTCTTTGTGCTATAACACAGCCTGATATTCATGCATTCTTTTCCTTTCCAGCCTCTAGAACAGTAATAAATAAATCTCCATTCTCTGTTACTTACCCAAGCTCAGATATTCCATTGTAGCAGTGACAACACTCAGACACAGTCAAGCATTATCCTTACTCAATTCTCATCAAGTTGTCTTAGATTCAGCATGGACTCTTAAGATCTGTCTAAAGTTAGAGAACATCAAACCCAACAAAAAACAAACTTAGAATCAGCTTCAAGGAGGTAGTAATAAAAAAATAAGTAGACTTTCTTCAAATGTTGATGTAAAAACTACATGTTCCCACCTATGTGAGTGGCATGAGTTCAAAAACTCATCTCCTTAGCAGACCCACCCATTTCTTGCAGTTGCTATAGTAAATTCCTTTTTCTGCAGACCATAAGCAAATAGTCCACAATTTCTTGTTGAAGTTTGAATTTTGATAACCTTTGTTTTTAGTAAAAAATTAATGAACAGATACTATTTGTGACAATGTTGTGTTGGAGAAGGAAGCTTACTTCAGGGGTCCATGGGTAAGGGCTGATGCCCTGGAGATGAGAGCAGACTTGGGCCCAGCAGGATCAAGGATGATATCCACAAACAGAGGTTCAGTGATGGGTAAATGCAATGAGAGGAGGAAGAAATATCCACAATACCAGAGTGACCTGCAAAGAATGAGGTCCAGTGAGTCAAGCCAAGTAATCAAGTGAGGTGCTCCTTCCTAGTGAGGAGAAGACAGTGAGATGATGGAGACAAGAAACCTGCGGTACTCCTGATCATCTTCAAAAGAATCATCAATGTCCCTATGAATGCCCCAAGACAAAATGGGTGGAAAGAGAAGACAGGAAAAGTCAGCATGTGACAGTTGTCTGTCTAGCAAACTTCCTGAATATGCCAGTTTCCAAAGGAAGCACTATGTAGTATTAAGCTTATTTTCATTTGCTAATTCAGAAGATAGTTTACATTTTTTATATGTCTTTAAGGCTTTTGTAATCTTTCATAACAAAGTATGGGCTTTACACTTCTAAATCTTTACCATGATTCTGTAGATAGATCTTAAAGTCTTTAGCAACTTAGGGTTCTAAATATTCATCTAAGTGTTAGTAAATTCAAAATCTTCCTCTGGATAAAACTTGACTTTCCAAAATAAAAGAGTAAATGAGTGTCTGCTTCTTCACAATTCAAGTACTTGAAGATTGAAAGCAATACGCTTTCCGTTGTTCATGGGTCCAATGCTGTGGAACAGAAATTTAGAAGCCTGTGAAGACCAGAAAAAAAGCAAGAGATGCCAAACCAAGAACTAAGTTAAGGAGAAACACCTGCTGTTTTGAATTGCAGTTACAGCAGCAAAACAGAAGCAGACAAGAAAGATAGGGTTAAGCTTGATCTTCTATGACGATCCAACTCTCTTGATTTCAGGAGGAATCACTGCAAGAGAAACCTCTTTTTTCCATTAAAATAAGTAAAAATGAAAGCACTGTCATGGCAGTGACTCATTCCTCCAGCTGTGGACAGTAGAGGTGATGCACTGATAGGCTGACTCATATTATTCACCACATTGTGCCTGGTGGAGGTGCTTCACTGATGGGTTGACTCATATTATTCACCAAATCGCGCCTGATAGAGGTGCTGCACTGATGGGTTTACTCGTTATTCACAAAATTGTGGCTGGTAGAGGTGCCTCACTGATGGGTGGACTTTGATTATTCACCATATTGTGCCTGGTAGAGGTGCCTCACTGATGGGTGGACTCTGATTATTCACCAGATTGTACCTGGTTGAGGTGTGTCACTGATGACTTGACTCATACTATCCACCAAATTGTGCCTTATAGAGAAAAGGATAAACTACAGAGGAGAGCAAAGCAATAGATTTTAAGGCAATAAAAACCCAAGGAAAATGATCAACTCTGTGATGTCTTAAGTCATTCCAACATCCAGTGCCCCTGGCTCTTCCACCTCTGTGTCAAGTCCTGTTTCAGGAGATGAACTGAGACATGTCTTCACTGTAATGGCAAACATGTTACACCTATGTCACAAATGAAGTTGCCTGTTAAAACACACACACACATACACACACACACGCACGCACACATCAGTATTTGCATTCTAACCCAAGAAAAATGAGCTCATGGTATTATTTCAGAAACCAAATAGAAGTGGAAATATGCTATATGGGATTGATTCTAGGCAAACCTCAAGACATGATTTATAGATGTGAACCTGATCTTGATGGTGTACAGTGTAACAGATACATTGAATCTATTAGCTAGTTAAACAATGGCCATGATGTGGGTTCTTCCAAGTGAAGATCCCATTAAGTGTCAAAAACAACTCTGGTTCCGCAAGTCCCTGCAATTCTCCCACCAAGGAACTCTATTCTGAGAAAAGCACAGAAAAAAGTTTTTCTCCTCTAGCCACTGATATTCAATGTTGGCATGAAAATGATATCTATAATAGATTGTGTGCAAATATTTTAATGATGTTAAGCTGATCATAAATAACCAAAAGGCATCTTATAGACAAACACATGTCATTTCAATTTCAAAAGGATACTGAGCTCAAAGAGAGCTACTGGACAACAGTAGCAAAGGTTTGTATTCAAAAGAAACTGATTATAAACTCATTTACAGAAAGTGGGAAATGAAAGACATGAGTCCAAAGGTAATTTAGATCCTAGAATTATAGCACTTTTGGGGGAGGCTGGTAGAGGAAAGGGCAGGAGAAAAGACTAGAATAATCATCAGTCTCACCTTAAAAGCCATAAATTCTGTGATATAATAGCTTATTGAAATTCTGCATCTCCATGCCAGATTTTGAGTAATATCCCTTTTAACTTTTTCAGGATTGATAAATCAATCTGTGGAGATAAATGCTTGGAAGTCGTAAGAAATCACGTCACCTTCCATATAATAGCAATCCCAGAAGATCTACTTGGGTGCTGTGCATTTAATCATAGTACCTGGTCACAACCAGTAGGACTTACTAAAGTAACCCTTAAATTCTTTCTGAATCCCTCCCCTTTTTGTCATTGATGGACACTGTATTAGAAAGATGTCAAGATCTACATTTTCAGTTGATTTAAGAGTTTATGGAATAAGTCCCTAGGAAAGGTAAAAATGATTGAGGATTAATGCAATCCTCATTTTTGATAAGTTGCTGCTATAAAACTCACTCCAACCCATATGACAAGAGTATGTACAATACAAAAGTGAGAAGGACTGAGAATGTTAACATCTTTGAGAAACCACTTTTTTTTATACTCTGCTCTCATCTTAGAATGATCAGAATCAGTGAATCTTAAGATTGCCCTTATCAGTAGGCAACACCTCACCCTACTGACTAAGTTGTCCACATTTTTAGTTATTAGGCCCTTCAGGAATGGATACAGAGAAATCCTTTATCCCTGCAGCACCATGGCCCCCTTCCTTCCCAGTTAAGTACAGAGAATCTCAGTGTCTGAACATTAATATGAGCCTGTGTTTACACAGGACAATGGTCATTATTTCATTATTAAATAAAAGTCATTCCACTGTCCCCTTCCTCAAAGTCAAAAGGCACAGGCATTCATTCAGTACCTTCTGAGCATACTAATTCATTTTAATTTTTGTCATTAAGTCTTGGTTAGCAAAAATTACCCTCTCTCTATTTTTTCCCTAAAGTTGTTGGTTCTCATTCTTCCTACATGTGGATGCAACTCAGACATCCATCCTTGACTTAGCTCAAAGCAAGTTTTCAATTCCCCAATTCACAGTGTAGAAGAGAACACATCTCTTTATGAGTCTTAGTTATTCTCTCACTGCTATGCCAAATTAATAGCAATATGGCAACATGGGACATTGCAAATCTATGATCTTCTACCCAGAAGTCTGGGTAAACTGAGAAGCTTCTTTGCTTAAATGCCTTAAACTCTGAAGAAGTATTGGATTCCAACCTTATTTAGGTTATTGCCAAATTCACTGCCTTAAAGTTGCAGGACCTACCCCTTCCATGCCATGAGTACCTCTGTGTGCCCCCAGAAGATGACCACATTCCTTCTAATGCTTCCTAGTAGTCCTTCCAAAAATGGTGGGCAAAGTCCCTCCCGATACTTCAAATGACTTCCCTTCTACAGAAATCTGACTCCAGGGACTCACGTGATCATATTACAAGTGTATAATCCAGGAGAATTTTCCCAAATCAAGTCCATAACTACATTGAAAGTCTCTTTCATCATGTATAGTACTGTCTTGATTATGAGATAGGTAACTTCTAAGTCAGTCTGCCTCCCAAAGCTTTCACTCTGAACCAGAAATTCACATCTTTCCCAAGGCTAAATACTCTCTTCTTTTCATGCCTTTGTAGGTTCCAGCCCCTAACATCATAAGCCAGGATCTAAACTCATGTAAATTCCACCAGTCCCACAGTCGCAAATATCACTAGTTGAGTCATTTTTCTTAGCCTGTTTTCTTACAGCAGAATTCCAAGTCATGGCATCATTCAATTTTCTTTCTGTCCCTTCTTTTATAATCTATGAGTGTGCCTTCTAACAATGAAAACATGGCCCACAGAATAGAACAAAAGTCCTTCAAGAACTACGTGAGATACTTATGAAGCTCACACAGAGTTTTTGGAGATATTTCTGCTGATATGGGTAAAGAATGACATGCTCACATTTCTATTCTTGTTTGTCTTGTGTTGGTTTTGTTGGAGATGGGTTCTCACTCTATAGCTCAGACTGGCTTCACATGGTTGGCAATTCTCCTCCTTTAGCCTTTGTCCTCTGCTTCAGTTGAAAAGGTCTGTGAGTCACAGTCTATCCTGGTTGTTTTCTGTTATTCTAGAAAGAATAGAAATTTCAGTGATTCAAAGCTGTTACATGTGCAAAAGCATAAACCAGGAATCTGCTCAGTACCTGTGGAGAATTGAGGGCCTTCCTGCAGAGTCAGGGTAAGGCACAGCAGGGATACCAGAGAGGGACAGCTGCTATGGTAAAGCCAATCCCATGGCAACCCATTACTTCACTGATTTGTTAGTCAGTGAATAGACTAATTCATTTGGGATATCTATGCCACTCACTTCCAAAGCCCTCACTTCCCAAATACTGTTAACATGTGGCTTTGATTTCCAAATGCTGGACTTTAGAAGGTGCATTAAAAGTAAGATAGTTATTTGGAAAGCTTGGTGAGACTACATGCTTGGGTATATTATGCTCATGAAGTTTAAGGAAATGGTTTTCACAGAGGCCAGAAACTGAAGGATCAGCCTTCTACCATTATCTGTCATGCTTTTAATGAACTAACAAATAATTAACTGTTGCCTCCCAGCAGAAAGACCACAATGGAAAAACATCATCACTCAGTCATTATACAATCTCAAGATAAAGAAAATCAAAATAAAGATAATTAAATTTCTACTTAATCAAGATAATGAAAGAGCTTCCTGCAACTCAATAAAGGCTAAGCTTACCATAACCCCATGGGATCTCGTTTAAATCCCAAATTTAAGGTTCTCTGTTTGGCTGACCAGATGCAAATTTAGCTGACTAGAAAGCTGAAAATTTGCATTTTTAATAATATTCTCTTAAAATTCTGATGCATACCAAAGAAAATAAGTTAAAATATGTTAATAAAAATTACAAAAGTAATTAAAATGCCACACTAGAAAACCTTAAGCTTGAATATATTAAATTTTAAAACTTCTACATTATGAGAGATATTTAAAGAAACTGAAAAGTAAAACAACACAGACTGGAAGACTATTTACAAACACATATCTGGTAAAGAACTTTTATCCAAGACACCAAAAAGCTCTTAAATATCAACAAAGGAAATGTCCAAAAATACTCCAGGTAAAGGGGCATCAAATAAGTTACACAAATCACTATCATATGAACAGTTTCAACAGTTTATTTCATTTAAAGATTGCAAGTTAAGCCAGGGGTGACATGTTTTTAAATTCACATCCAACAGGAAAAGGCAGGCAGATCTCTGTAAGTTCAAGGCCAGCCTGGTATGTATAGCAAATTCTAAATCAGCCAGATGCTCCCTGTCTAAAAGAAATTAAAGAAATAAAGAAAGCAAGAAAGGGAGGAAGGAAGGAAGGAAGTTGCAAGTTAAGGGTTAAGGGCAGCACAGTAGAGCTGACCCTATTGGTAGGGTGCGGGTGATCCAGCACTGTGAACATGTGTGGGAGATCTTGCCCCGCCCCTCATCTGCCATATGGTGGAGTGGGCTAGGCAGAAATGCCCTTCCTCCTTCCTCAACCCTCACCACCTGTAGTGAGTGGGAGAGCTGACCTGGGGTGGGGCATGAGAGCAGGATAACTGGACCTGCCCCTCACCAAACGTACCTCTATGAAGAAAATGTTCTAAACCTTGCCTGGGCCAAACAGTAAAGGTGGTCCTGGTGCTATGGGTGTGAGTGAGCGGCCCCAAGTGTTTGACAGGAGAACTGCCTCCCACCCCTTGGCTGCCTGCTACAACGGGTGAGCTACCTGGGGCAGTGTTGGAGAGCTCTCCCTGGTGATGACCATGAAGGAAAGCTGGTGGACTGACCAACTAAGCCACCACCCAGGTCCAGACCTAGGACTGTGTGTTACCCCACCCCAACACCTGCCTCATCTAAGAACTGCTGAAGCATGTGAAGGGGCTGGACCTGCAGATCAAAAGCTGCAGGATCTTCAGGACACAAAACAGCAACAGGATAGCCAAAAGGAGTCCCAGCTAGGGTCCGGTACCGATAGTGTAGCAGAAGTCAGGAGCTTAGACCCAGATCAGCGGCTCAATGGGATGAACGTCCATAAGTAAAGATGTATGGACTAAAGGCTATACTCTGTGACCCTGCCACACTGCAGCTTCCACACTGAGGTTTGGGGGGAGGGTTGTTTTGGTTTTTGTTTTCTTTTGCTTGTTTTAATTTTTGGTTTTCTTTTAATTTTCATTTTACTTTGAGAAGGGAGGTAGCAAGGGCAGAGGGTGACATGAAGGGACGGAGTGGAGAGATGAATGGGATCAGAATGCATTATGTGAAATCCACAGAGAATTAATAAAATGTTTTTTTAATGCAAGCTAGAATAAGCATGTGGTCTGAGGGTGTGACTGAGTAGAAGAGAACACTTGGTTAGCAGGAATGTGATCTTGTGTTCTATACTCAGAACATTTTTAAAAAGCAGCAGTGATGTGATGTACAGTATGTACTGTTGCCAGCACATAGGTGGATGGCTAAAGTCAGTTAAAACCCGGCAAAGCAGGCAACACCAACATCTAACAAGGATATGGAATGGATTTTCTCTGTCCCTGCTTACGGGAATTTAAACTGGCACAGAAATCTTAGGACATGACAGTTTCATAAAGACAGATCTCTCTAAGTTTGAGGCCAGTCTGGTCTACATATAGACTTTCAAGCCTGCCAGGGTAACATGGTAAGACTCTGTTCCAAAAACAAACAAAACACCAAAACTTATAATGGAACTCAATACAGCCTTACATACAACCCCCTGATTGTGTTCCCAAATATTTATTCAATTAATTTTGAAACTTTGGTCCACAAGAAACCTGCATGTGGGTGTTAAGAGCAAATACTCACTGATTATGAATAAGCATGACATATTACTCTGTAACTGAATACTAAATAAACAAAACTAATACACTGTATGACTATATGGATAAATCTCAAAACTAAGATTTAGATCCAGACACCAAAAGAAAATGTACGTTTATATGAAATCCCCAAAAAGACAAAAAAACCATGGTGTCACATATCAGATTGCAAAGAGCTTAGAGACATGAGACAGGAATTTTTGAAGCGACAGAAAGCTCCTGGTCTTGGTTTGAGTGGCAGATATGTTAGTGTTCATTTATTGTAAAAATCAACCCAACTATACACTTCAGATGGAAATGAATTTTCTTATGCAAGTTATTAGTAAAAAATAAAATACCTCAAAAGAATACCAAAATTTCATAACAAGAGACATAGCAGAAGGAAGAGTCAACAAGGAATTTTCTAACTCTTGGTTATTTAGTTGGAAGTTTGAGCAGTAACCAGCCATATGCTTGGGGAAAGGAGAACAAAATTGATTTCTTCAGGATAGTATGCAGATTTGTGAAATTACCGTCATATTTCAAATTTCCCGTGGTATAGATGAACAATTTCTATCTTTCTTTCCTAAATTTCACTGCAGGCTGCATCAGGAAGATCTTTAAGGAAACTGACCCTTTGGACTGTTTTCTCTCAAAGACTGCTAATGGAAGTTCATCCTGGGCAATTGTGGTCTTCATCCCTTTCCATTCCAGGTGACCCTCAAGATTTCTTGAATATTGAGGGTATTTAAGATTATCTCAATATTAGCCTCACTTAACTGTCTTGTCTCAGTGAAGAGAAACTGAAAAGCAATTTTTGCATGGCCCAAATTAAGCCATCATATCAACTCAGTCTTAATATATTACCTAGAATAAAACAGATGGTCTCAATGCTTGCACAGCCTTTTTCTGCTGGTTTCAGCCCTGCAAACTCCCAGGCAGCTTACCATGTGAACAGACTCTCAACTAATTCCAAGCAGAGGCTCTATATTGACTCTTACAGAACACATGAATGTTTTTCTCGTTCTTGCTGCTATAAACTAGCCATTTATAAATATTTGGGACTTCCCTAAAGTCATTTAAAAGACATTTATAACAGTGCTAATGGCCACAAAAACTTAAATTTTCTAGTATCTACACCATAAAAGTAATAGGAAATAAAACTTCACTAATACATTTTATTTAACCTAATATGGCCTTAATACTATAGTTTATCATATAATTAATCTAAAATTACTTCTAGGTAATTTACAGTCTTTCCTTCATTGTTAAGTTTTCGCCGTCGTGAACATATTTTTTACTTAAAGTATATCTCAGCTTGAGCTAGCCATAATGCAAGTGCCCTAGCAACATGCTGCTAGTAGATACCATAATGGGCAGTGTGGTTCTATAGAGTGGTTTCTTTAAATAAATTGAAATGGCCTTTATGCATCACCTAACTTTATGTGTCTTAGGTCCACGACAGGTGGAGTCACACACACCATGGTATACACACCTTTCCCTTTGCAACTTCTGCAAGCACTCCACTAGAGGTAGGCAAACATCTAAAATCATTTTTGAAAATGTGTTTATCTTTCACCCAATATATTCTAATTATAGTTTCCCCTGCCCCAACTCCCCTCTCTCCAACCACCTAATTCACGTTCTTTTGTTCTTTCATTAGAAAACCAAAAAGCATCCAATAGTAGTAGTAGTAATATAAAACAAACTAGAGCCGGGTTAGCAATGAGGGATCATGTCTACTTCTTTCTCATTGGACCACCATCTAGCTTAGACTTGTGAAGGCCCTGTGCATGCTCCCACAGTTTCTGTGAGGTCATATGTGCATTATTCCTGTTATGTCTAGAGGCCTTGTTTCCTTACTGTTGTCTTCTTTCTGCCTAATCTTCCACAGAGTTCCCTGAGCCCTGAGCCCTGAGTGGAGGAATTTAATGGAAACGAACAATTTAGGACTAGGTGTTCCAATGTCTGTCACTCCCTGCACATGGTTCAGTTTTGGGCCTCTGTATTCATTCCCATCTACTGTGGAGAATGCTTCTCTGATGATAGCTGAGCATGCACTGGTCTATGACTATAGCTGAATGTCATTAGGAATCATTTTGCTGCTGCATTCCTTTAGCAGAACAGTAGTATTTTATTTGCCTCTACATCTATAGCCTGTATAATCGCAGGTTCTTAGACACAGGGTTGGGCATGAGTCACATCTCATGAAGTACGTCTAATTCCAATAAGATAGTGATTGGTGAATCCCAAAA